GTGTCAATACTGACGCACGTATATTCAGAATCCCTATAAATCACTAATAAATCTCTCCTTTTGATTCTTTACAGCCATGTTATTGATAATATTATCAATAATATCTGCAGTAGTTGGTTTAATATTTGCTGCTTTTATGGTTTTTCCACTTCAGACGTTTTTTCCATTATGAACTCAGATCTGTTACGGTCAGCAGTGTCTTAAATTGTTTGTTTTTTTTTCCAAAAAGCAGCATTTAAAAGAGTTCAGTTAATTTTTTTTCCTGAACTGTTTTACTGTTGAACAGTTAAACGCTGTTTCACTTGTAAAAAAAAAAAAGTTAACCTTGAAATTTATTTATTTTTTAAACAATTTCTCAGCTTTAATAATACTGGAAGACGTTTCTCTCCATAAGTTCCTTTATTCTTTTCCTCAGGTTTTAAATGAACAAACCCTCCAACTCCTCTCTGAGTGACTAAAATTAAAGCTTTATTGAGGTGAATTATGAAAACAAATGTCAAACAGTGTAACAAGGCTTATGAGACTTAACAGAAAAGTCAGTTTGGGAGGAAATAAAAGAATCCAAACAATCAAACGGTGCAGTGAATAAAATCGGTTGGTTTTCTCCAGGAGAGGATTGTTCCTGGTTCCAGCCGTCGTTCCTCTACAGTTTGGTGTCTTTGAGCTGCAGAGAAAACAGGATCATGAAAACAAAGCAGCAGGTTGATGTTCGCTGCAAAGAGTCAAGAATTTTACTCTGATGCCTTTAAATAAAATCCAGTGCAACCAGTTTAGTAGATGTAGTTGGAAAAAAAAACTATTGAACTATTCACCCCAGTTAAATAAACGGAGATCGATGGATTTCACTCAGTCGGCACTTTATTTACTTTATTACTTTATTTTTATCTTTGCAAATAGAGAACAGTTTATCATGCAGCCTTTACTGCAGGGTAATCAGCCCTGTTCTGATCTGGGCAGCGTTCGTTCCTCCTTACTTACAGTAATGGACAGTGATGGGAGTAACGGCGTTGAAAGTTACTAACGCCGCTACCTTTTTTAGTAACAAGTAATCAAAATTAATTCTCTTACTGTAACTATAACGCAGTTACCATTGCAGACATACCGTTACTGCGCGTTACTCAGGTCGCACAATGAACCTTTTTTCACGATAGGACTCGTGCGCGCGTCATGAGAGAGGGGAGGATGGAGAGTCAGGAGGACTCCTGCAGCAAAACAGCGCTTTCCAGATGGAAATACCGGTGTTACGTCGAGTAACGCAATAGTTACTTTTACTACTAACTAATTACTTTCATTGTGGAGTAACTCAGTTACTTTTTGGGAGAAGTAACTAGTAACTATAACTAATTACTTTTTCAAAGTATTGTGCCCAACACTGGTAATGGAAAGTAGTCAGAGTCAAAGCAAATTACTGCGGCGTCTGCAGTGATGCGGTCGCTGCATCGGACTGTCGTGGTGCAGAGGGAGCCGAGTCGGGGGCGAAGGTCTGGATTTACCGATGGATCTACGTTCCGACCCTCACCTATGGTCAGGAGATCTGAGTAACGACCCAAAGGATAAGATCGCGAATACAAGCGGCTTTCCTTTGCAGGGTGGCTGGGCGCACCCTTCTAGATGGGGTGAGGAGCTCAGTTACCCGGGAGGAGCTCGGAGTAGAGTCTCTGCTCCTCCATGTGGAAAGGATCCAGCTGAGGAGGCTCTGGCATCTGTTCCTGATGCCTCCTGGTCGCCTCCATCAGGAGGTGTTTCAGGCATGTCCCATTGGGAGGAGGCCTGGTGGAAGGACAAGGACACGATGGAGGGACGATGTCCTCCACGACCCGACCCCGGATAGTGACTTCAGGTCATTGTGGCAGTAATAAAGCATCAAGCTAAGATCCCAGGAAGAATGATTCTATTTTAAATACTTCTAAGCATCCAAAGTTAAACTTTTCTCTACAGTCACCAAATGGAAAAAGGAAAACCCTCAAAGATGCAGAATCCGTGTATCATTCGTTC